GATGCTATCCTTGAGGGGTTCCCAAGCATCAGGAGGAGCAGTAATACAAACCTCATGTTCTACCGGAGGATAGCACAAGCAAGAACAGATGTCAGCTCCTTTTTTAGGACAAAGATATCGACCTCAAGAGACAACACAGAACTAAGTGCCTCACAGAAATGAAATGCCCGAGATACTGCTGGGAGAGTTTGTAATGAACAAATGAATTTTAGGCCAAGAATGCAAGTTTGGTTTCATACTACTTAAAAAAAAGACAAAATAAACATGTTCTCCACCAAAGCAAAAACAATAAATGAATGGAAAATACTGACAGCATATAGGAAAAAGAACTTAATTCTTACAAGAAAAACATCTGATAAAATTGAATACCTGTACATGTCATTTTAAAAAATGCAATGTCAGGGGCTAGAGATGTAGCTCAGTTGTTAGAGTGCTTGCCTCTCTTGAACAAAGCCCTGGATTCAATCCCTAGCACAGCATAAACCAGACATAGTGGCATATGCCTGAAATTCTAGTATTTAGGAAGCGGAAGCAGGAGGACTAGGCTATCTTTGGCTACATAGCAAGTTCAAGGTCAGCCTGGGCTATGTGAGACCCCATGAGAGAACAACAGTCATGAAAACTAGGAATAAACAAATATATCTTTAGTCTGAAGTATCCACAATCAACAAATGGATACACTACAGTCAACAACTTAGTTAATTATACAATATTAGAAATTTCCTCCCTGAAAAGTGGCATTAAGAATGCTCACTTTTGCCTCTTCTAGTCAACCTTGAGCTAAAGGTCTTATCTACTACAATAGGACAGAAAAAAAATAGAAGCATGGATATTGGGAAAGAAGATACAAAACTGTGATTATGTTAAACAATCTGGATGAATGTTTTGAAAAATCCAGAAGAACCCACAACCAAGGGTCAGGTGAGATTGCTTAGTGGGTAAAGACTGATGTCTGAAACCCACGTAAAGGTGGAAGGAGAGAGTGGACTCCATAAAGTTGTCCTCTGACTTCTGTATGTGATGTGGCATGTACACCCCTCAGATCATGCACACACAGTAATAATAAAACGAAATAAAAAAGAACCCATGGGTAAGCTGAGCAAGCTATTAGAATAAATGACCTCAGTAAAGTTTTGAGCTAACAATATAAATCTACAAAAGTCAATTGCATTGTTCTCTGCCAGCAAGATTAGTAAGCAGAATAAGAACATTTTATTTTTAATAGCATAAATATGTAGGAATAAATATAATTGGAGAGAGTTAAGGCTTTTACACTGAAAACTTCAAAGTATTATTGAGAGAAAAATTTAAAAACTGAATAAATTAAGGAATATATATATATTCATGGACTAGGAGACTTAGTATTATTAAGATTTAATTTCTCCCCAAATTTATCTATAAATTTAGTATAACTATAATCAAAATACCAGTGAATTTTATTGGAGGAAAGTAGAAGTACACAGAGCCTAGCGCAGGCGAAAATGTTGTCAAAAATGACCAAATATGGGGAATTCACACACCTGACTTCAAGACTTAGTTTTTTGAGATGGAGTCTCATGTAGTCCAGGCTGGCCTTGGGCTTAATCTGTAATTGAGGATGGCTTTGAACCTTCTGCCTCTACCTCTTGAGTGCTGAGATTATAGGTGTGTGCCACTATACCTGGTTTCTGCGGTGCTGGGGATGGAACCTAAGGCTTTGTGCATATCAGCACTCTGCCAAGTGAGCTACACCCCCAGCCCAAGACCGAAGCTGCCTTTTACTGGTGCAAGTTTAGGTAAACAGGAGAGCGGAATAGACGAGAGACAAGCAGTCAGCCTGTATGCACAGGTGTGATCGCTGATGGCTACCGAAGGCGATACTGGAATTCAGTGGCGAAAATAGACTTTTCACAAGTTGTGGCAGGACAGTTCCATATCCGTGTGGGAAAGCAAAGCAAAAATCTTTGTTTTATCTCCATCTCACAGTGTATGCAAGAGTTAGCTGGAATTGAATCGGTGATGTAAACGAGAGAACAAAAACACCAAACTTGTAGAGTGAAGCAGGTGAGTATGCTCAAGATCCGGGCAGAAGCATGCATCTCTCAAATGGGGTGTGTGAAAACAGTAAACGCCACGAGTGATGACACATTCTTATAAAGCTCAGCACTTGGGAGGCAGAGGAAGAGGGCAACCTGAGCTACACAGTGAGTTCCAGGCCAACTAGGACTACATGAGATAATCTCAAAACACCAACCAACCAACCAAACTAAAACCCAAATTAAAACCCCAAACCAAGAACTTCTGTTTGTCAAAAGACAATGAAAAGGCGCACCACACGCAGGACAATGACATATTTGCACACCACACACAGGACAACGACATATTTGCACATCATACACAGGACAACGTATTTGCATACCACACAGTAGGTCATGATCTGCCATGCTTCTATTCGACAAAGGATTTGTACATGTAATGTGTTTTTAAAGGTCCTATAAATCAATAAGAAAAAACACATACCACAGCCTTTAAAAAGGGCAAAAGAGGGCTGGGGAGATGTCTCAGTGAGGGAATGCTGCACAGGCAGGGGACCTGAGTTCAGAGCCCCAGCACCCATGCCAAAGCCAGGCATTGTGCTGCACATCTGTAACCCAAGCACTGGGGGAGGCAGGCATATCCCAGGGGCTCACTGGCTGCCAGTCTAGCTGAAATGGTGAGCTCCAGGTTCAGAAAGAGACCCTATCTTAAAACAATGTGGGGAGTAACAGAGGAGTCACTTGATGTGGACTTCTGGTCTCTTTATGTGCACTCACAGGCAAGTGCGCCTGAACATACACACACCACACACCACATAGACACATCACACACCATATAGATACATCACACACAACATAGACACACCACACACCACATAGACACACCACACACATGCAAACACACTACATATCACATACCCACACACACCTATACCACACACACACACCACATACCCACACCCACAACACCCATACTACACATACCACACCTACCCACTCATATCACACATACAAGATACATACATATACTACAAACATAACACACATACACATACCACACACATATACCATCCACATACATACACACCATACGCATTCACATACACCACACATACTACACATATACACATATACCCCCCCATACACACACCACAGAAGGGCAAAAGACATACCCAGAAAATTCACAAAATAGAATGTCAAAATGTCCAATAACTTTATGAAAAGTTTCTCAATATCGCTAGTAAACCGCGAAAAGCAAATTTAATCCGTAATGGGACAGCACTATGTACAGTGGGAAGAGCTAAAATTAAAATGATAATACCCTGTGCTCTAGAGAATGTGGAATGCCTGGAACTCTCTTATTTTACTAGAGAGAGTTTAACTTGGTGAACTACTTCAGGAAAAAAAATGCTTGGCAGATCCTTCTAAAGCGAATCCTATACCTACCCTTTATCTCAGCAATTTAAACCTCGAGTGTAGGCCCAACAAAATGGGGATGAATGTCCATCAAAAGCATGCACCAGAATGCCAGCAACGGTTCCACCACAGAAGCCCAAAGTGGAAACAGCCCCAGTGTCCACCAGCAGTAGAATAATCTAGGAGTGACACAGTGATACAAGGGAATACCACACACAATGAAGGCATGAGCTGGAGAGTCAGGGTGACATGGCAGATCCCATAGACACAGTGATGAATTTTAAAAAGGCAGCTGGAAATGAGGACCTGCAGGATGATATCACCAGATGAAGCTCAAAATGGTGAATGAAACTTTGGAGGGAGTCAGAATAGCGGCTACTGACTAGGGGCTGGTACCATGGAGGCTTTGGGGTGCCCGTAGAGTCTATCTCTGTGTTGGGGTCTGATTACTTGGGTGCCGATGTGTGTAAAAGTTTATTGGATGTATACTCAAGATAACCAATCTGTATGTAAGCCAGACCTGGACAGAAAGATAATAAATAAGATGAAGGAGGAAGAAGAGGAAGAGGAAGAGGAGGAAGAAGGTGGTAAGAAGAAGAAGAAAAGAAAAATGGGGAGGTAGTGGTGGTGGAGGAGGAGAAAGCAGAACAAGAAGAGGAAGAGGAAGAGGAAGAGGAGGGAGAGGAGGAAGATCATTCAGCTTTCGAGGTGGGAACGGGGGGCCTCACAGGAGGAGGGAGGGTCTGCGGGAAGGTCTAGCGAACTGAGTCTGAATGTTGCCATTCTGTGAGAGTACTGAGCAGAAGAAGGGAGAGGAGTGGAAAGGGCAGAGCTGGACAGGTCAGACTAGGAAGAGCAGGTGTGGAGCATCTGTGGCCAGTGTGCATGGAAAGGTTTAGAAAGAATGTCTAAAAGCTCTAAGTCGAGGGCTGGAAGGAAGGCCTTGCCTTCTGTCAGCTGACAACCCACCAGGCACCAGGGAGGAGAACCCGGATTAATGACATGTGCCTGAGGGATCTGCTTGTGGTGATGAGATATACTACCACTGACTTAGGAGGATGGTCAGCTCAGGTAACACAGTAAATTTACTAAAATCATCATTTTCTTGTATGCCCTATTTGAGTGGATTATATGGTCAAATACGCAGTTTCTTTTCAGAACTGAGGCAGATCTCTGCTCTTCATTATTCTGGGGGCCCTGGGCTTTGTTGTTCCTCCCCTCCAGAGCACTCCTCCCTCTGCCCCATCACTGCTTTCTGCAGGTTGTGAGCAGCCTCACCCCCCACCTGAAGGGGGAGCAGAGGTACTGCTGAGAAACTGAGGCCCTGAGGATCCCTCACCAGAGACCCCCAGAACCTGCTCCCTCTGGTCACATAACCCAGAAAAAGGGTCCCGAGTCCCATTTCACAGATAGGAAGATGGAGGGCCTGGGTCTCAGGGGCAGAGTCTGCTGGGACAAGGAGTCAAGTCATAGGAGGTGGGAGAGTCTGTGTGTGAGGGCCAGTCTGGACCGATGGTGGGCCAGGGGCAGGAAGGAGAGCACAGCTAGATGCCTCCAGCTCTCACTCACCATTTCTTGCCACTGATGTCATGCTGTTGAACTGTGTAGCCAAAGAAGGCTGCGCTTGGGCCTGCAATGACCCGGGGTTTCCGAGTATCCATGTTGAAGGTGTCCGTGAATCCTAGGTTGGAGCAGAGGAGAGAAACATAGAAGTCAGGAGGGTGGACATACAGCCCAGAGGAGCATCTGGGCCCTCTGGCTTGTCATCTGCCTCAGAAAGGCTGGTATCTGAAGCAGGTGGGCGCCCCTGTCTTTGAAGAGCCCCCATAGGAGGTAGTTGAATAGCAGCCCCTTGTCTGGGAGAGTTCACAGTCTGATGGGAAAGGCACGGCTTCAATGGAAGAGGCATAAACCCTATCTTTAGGGAGACTGTTCTTTCACTGAGGCCTCATTGCTGGAATCAAAGTCTTGCTCATACATATTGACTGATTGAACCACTAGAGACTAGCTGGCTCAGCATCCCCTTCCCCTCCCTGAGGAACAGTGGAAAGAGAAGAATTCTGACACCACCCACTAATTTTACATTAATTACCCAGATTTCATACCAACCCAGTCAGATGAATGTTCTGCACCTCTTGGATCTTAAATAATCTGTGGGAAGTCACTCAGCAGGTAAGCTGAAGAAACTGAAGAGCTTGGGGAGCCCAGGGAACCCTTTCTAGAGTCCAGCCTTTCATAGGAAGGACAGAAGAACAAGAAGTGTCTTCTAGAGAACAAGGTCCCCCTCCCTGTGCCTCAGATCCCAGAAGGCTGTCCATGCTCCATCTTAGGGTCAGAGTGAGGTACCCTCTCATAGGGTTCTGTCAAGGATTGGCTGGACCTCTCCCTGCCCCCCCCCCCCCCCCCCCCCCAAGCTCAAACTCCCTACATAGCCAAGAAAGGCCGTGAACTTGTGATCCTCCTGCCTCTACCACCCAAGTGCTAGGATTACAGCTGCATGCCACTACCTGGCTAATTCAGTGCTACGGATTGAACCCAGGACTTCTAACATGCTAAGCAAACACAGTACCGCCCCGCCCCAAGCAATGGACTCTGGCCATAAGGAAGAGGCATAAGTTACAAATGCTGGTTTTGCCCTCAGAATTCAGTCAGTGGGCTCATCTGTCCAAGCTGAAGTAAGCAGAGAATGGGCTTCCTAAAAATGGTGCAGATCCAATCCTTCTGATCATGGCTCCCAACAATCTCTAGTTTTTCTGATGGTGATGGTGTTCATGCTTGGGGAATGGACCCTTCTCAGGGATCTATGACTCCAAAGAAAAAATAAAAAAGTTGTTTTTGATGGGAATCCACAGGCTGGGCCTGGTGGTGCATGCCTTTAACCCAGCACTTAGGAGGCAGAGCCAGGCAGATCTCTGTGAGACCAAGGCCATCCTGGTCACAGAGTAAGTTCTAGGCTAGCTGGGGTGACAGAGAGACCTGTCTCAAAAAAAAACCCCAAACCAAACCAAACAAACAAACAAAAAATGAGCTGAGCAAGTAGCATTCTTCATTCTCTTCCTGACTGTGGACACTGTGACCAGATATCTCATTCTCCTGCCACCATGAACTTCTCACAGGGGTGGGCCACGCCCTCCAACTGTGTGCTAAAATATACCCTGTCATAATAGTTAGCCTCAGCTGTCTACTTGATACAACTCAGAGTCACCTGACAAGAGGGAACCTCTGAGGAATTTCTTCCATCAGATTGCCATGTGGATCATTTAAAAATCGTTAATTGATGGAGAAGGGGCCAATCTACCATGGGTGGCACCATCCCCTAGGCAGGTGGGCCTGGGCTGTATAAGAAAGGTAGCTGAACAAGAGCCTGAGCGGCAGCCAGTAAGCTGTGGTCCTCTGCGGTCTTTGCTGCAGTTCCTGCCTCCAGGCTCCTGCCTTCAGCTCTGGCCCTGGCTTCCCTCAGTGATGGACTGTAACTTGTAATGTGAAATAAATCCTTTCTTCCCTAAGTTGCCTTTTTATAGTGTTTATCACATCTGTAGAAAGCAAACTGGAACATACTTTTTCTCCCTTAAGTTGCCTTTCTCAGGGTATTTTATCATGGCAACGGGAAAAGAAGCTGGGAACCTAGTGACTCTCCATGGACCAAAGCCAAGTTAATGACAAGGTTGATACTAGAACTTCGATCACCCCACCTCTACCCAGATTTGTCTCAGCTTAATAGCAGAGGTTGAGGTTGACAGTAAGGGCAAGGAATAGTTCACACTCACAGAGGCAGAGCTAAAACACGCACGTGGAAACTTAGGGTTTCCTAGAACACACTTCCCAAGCCATTCTGGTAGGTTTAAGAGCCTTGGTGTTACAAGTGAAGAAAGTAAAGCCCAGAGAGGTAGGATTTTCCCAAGGTCACTAGTCTTTCTTGATGCCCAATTTTGTGTGTGTGTGTGTGGGTACATGTATGTGCAGGTGCAACATACATATGTATACATGTGCATGTGAAGGCCAGAGGACAACCTCCAGTGTTCTTCTACTGTTTGTTTGAGACAGAGTCTCTCCTTAGCCTGAAACTTCTCCAAGCTAGGCTGGCTGGCCAACGAGCTCTAGAGATCAACCTGTTTCTACCTCCCATCTTGCCATCACTGGCCTCTGGGGATCCAAACTCTGGTTCTCATACTTGAAAGTCAAGTGCTTTACCCACTGAGCTGTCTCCCCCACCTGCCCTCTTTATACTCCACCACTTCTTTGGTATGATTTTTTTTCTTCTAATGTCCTTCTCTTCAAACGTTGTCTATGGTGCTCCAGTTTCTGTGCTAGGGATGACTGCTTGAGTAAAACACCAGGTCATCAGAGTCCTCAGTCATGCTGGGTGGGCCCACAGACTTGTTTGTAAGTCAACAGAGTCTGAAGTGATGCCAGGAGAAGTCTGGATGGGGTGAGTGACCTGAGTTCTAATCTCGGCTTTGTCATAACTTGGTTGTGTGTCCATGGAGAATACCTCTGCCTCTCTGGGCCCCAGGTTCCCCATCTGTAACAGGAGAGGATTCAGCCCCCCATCAAAGGTGTACTTCTACAAATGTCAGTAGGTTCTCTAGGGCAGACACACAGCTGACTTCCAGTTGTCAGCACACAAAGCATCTGTCTTGAGTTTCTGCAAACAATTGAGAATTGGGGACCAGAAGGCCAAGAGGAATGTGAACTCATCTGAGTGTTGGCCAGAACCAAAAACATCTGGGAAGGGAAATCTCCAGGCAAAAATGATAATATTTTGCATTCTCAAGCCAAAGGAAAGAATTAAGGAAAGTCATCATCTCATGCTCTGCACCATGCAGGCTTGGCTGTCTCTCCCCTTGTTTGTGCCATGGATATTTGGCGGCAGGATCCTCCTTCCACAACTGGAGCTTTCAGACATATCACACATCAGAGAGATGGAGGCCAGCCTCATCCTCAGTGAGATCTTGAGTAAGAGGGTGGGCATCACGGTAATGGTTACTATTTGGGTGTCAACTTGACAGGATCTAGAATGACCTCGAAGGCAAATCTCTGGACTTGTCTGTAAGGGATTACTTAGGTTAGTTAATTGCAGTGGGAAGACCCACCCTAAATGTGGAATGGCATCATTCCAAGAGCTGGGGTTCTAGACTGTATAAAAAGGAGGTGAGCTGAGTACCAGCATTCACCTCTTTCTGCTTCTTAAAGGCAGACTCAATGAGACCAGCTTCTTCAAGTTCCTGCTGCCATGCCTCCCCCCCACGATGGACTACACCCTCCAACTGTGAGCCAAAAATGAGCCCTTCTCTCCTTAAGTTGCATTTCTCAGGTATTTTTTGCACAGCAACAAGTAACTTTGACACTATATCTACTAGAACTCTAAACTGTGTGCGCTGACCCCTCAGGACAGTGTGGCTAAGGAGCCTCCCTCTCTGTGATCTTCAAGGGATGTAAGTACCTAGGAGACTCAGGGGAGTTACAGCTAAAGAGCAATTGTCAAGGTCAAGGCTCAAGAGTGGACTTGTGACTTTGAAACAGCTGGTTATGGGGCTGAGAGGGAGGACATGGGAATAGAAGGCCCACCTCCTAGGAGCTAACAGTGCTATGCGAAGACTATGGGTTCTGAGACCTGCTTTCTTCCCTGGTCCTATTACTCACTGGGTGTGTCACCCTGAAAAGGTATTAGCTCTCTCTGGGCCTCAGTCTCCCAGGTGGGTTAAACCATTTTCAGTCCTGTGTCCTGAGTCTGTGTGCTCCTCTTCTGCTGGATTCATTTCCATTCATTTCCTTTCAGAGACCAGAGTACAGACTAGCCCTGAGAGTGTCTCGATGGGCAGGCAGGTGGCTTTTCCCAAGTCTCCATCAGGTTGTTGTTTGTGGCTGAAGTCATTCCTTCCTTCCTCTCCAACACAAGTTTTTGTAGTGGGCTGCCCTCCCACATCCCTCAGTGACTTAGCACCCAGCCTGCTGGTAGAGTCAGGGGCTATATGGAGTCAGATGTGTATGAGGGGTGGTTTTTGTGACAGCAAATCCCTTCTTACCACAGGCCCTGACACACTCCTGTACTTTACAGTAAACTTGCCCAGATTTGGGTCTTCCTAGGAGAGAGATAAGACCCAGTTTATTCTTGCAAAGCTCACCTTGCAGTCTTCCTTCAGTCAACTCAGAAGGATTCTACTTCTACTTCTACAACGCCCTTTGGGACCTCCTGCCTCAGCCAACTCCGCATTATCTTGCATCTTCTCCTCTGAAGGGAACATCATGGGTCCATCTAACTTTATATTCCTCCAACCACTGACGGCACCAGCCAGCCACTGCCTCTCTTCTCCCCCTTCTTGCTTTCCCTCCCTTCTCTCCCCCTGCTCTTTTTCTCTTTTTTTTTTTTCGCCTCTCCTTCCTATGTCCTGTGGAGAAGCAGGACAGCACTGTACCTCTGGATGGTGCTTGTACCATGGTTTTTTGCCTTTCTGCAGGTGCAGAACACCAGGCTCTGGTAGAAAGTGGGCCGTGTACACCATGTGTAGCACAGCAAGGGACAAGATGGGGATGTGCTATAGAGAGGAAGGAATGACTTTTCCCAATTAAGTTCCTAGAAAGGGGTGGGATCTAAGGGTGAAGGGTTTGTCGGGGTGTGTGGAAACTGGGAAGGGGTGGCCAGGGAAGGGAGGGATACAGGGTTAAATGAGGAGGGTTCTT